GGAGCTCTCCATCCCACCCTAACAGCCCTACAGGTGCTCCAGGCCCAGCATTATATAGGAAAAGTGAACAATTTCATGTCTGCATCTGCACAAAATCTTTCTGAAACTAGAAAAATAAATGGCACTCTTCATCATGCTTTACTCTTCATTCATTTGGTGAATTCAGAGTTTCCCAAGTGTCCATCCATACAATGTATTTTTTCCATCTCTATAATGTGAGTTAAATGGAACTCTAACATCTAAACAGTACATCAATGTTATGTATGCAGTAGAGAAGGAAAGAGAGTCAGCTTATTTTAAAATTAATTAAAAAAATAATAAAATATAGTTGAAGGTGGTAGGGTTCCTTCTGCTAACACTGAAATCACATTCAGCTTAATGAAAAATCACCTGCTCTGCCATGAAGTGGAAACAAACTTCAACTGGAAAACACCTTTCACCTTTTGACCCAGGCCCAATACCACAAAAGCTCCGACCCCTAAACTGAAGCCACCTGATTTTGTCATACAGCAGCAACATACAATACTTGAGCACCTTCTGCAGCACATAAAAGGCATTCTCAGTGATCTGTAATGAGTAGAGTTGTGCAGAAAGCACATTTCCAGGTGTTTTACCACAGAATGATGCAGAAACCAGAGTGCATTCCATGTCAGGAGAGTTGGGCATCTACCCTGTGCTCGCTACTCACACAAAACCACCAGTACACGGCCCAGACTTGGCAGGACTCTCAGAGACACATGCTTGTGCTTTTGGCAGAAGGGAGCTGACCACTTGCAGCATCAGTGTCCTCTGCCAGCTGGCCAAAGAGCACACAGATGCAAGGGAAGCAAATTATCTGCCCACTGGCAAAGAGAAATGCTGAACAGCACCTTAGGAAAAAGCGTGTGTGCGCATGTGTTCCCGTGTGCGAGCGAGTGTGCGTGTGAGCGTGTACACACAGACACCTGTGCTTTGGGAGAGAGAGCAGCACAGTCAAACTGGGAAAATTGGCTGCTACTAGTCCTGTGGCATCATTTTCTGCAACATTCTCACAGCAATGAACAGGCACTTTTCCCATTAAAATCTTCCAAGTTGAATTTTAAAGATTAAACACAAGGACAGCAAAGATGCCAAAGTATATTTTTCTAAGAAAGTCTGAAATCAGACCCCTTCGAGAATGGACCCACACAATCACTTAGAGGATTTTAGCAACTTAAGCTTAGCATGTCTTTGCATCTTCCCTCTTTATTTATCTCTTGAAGAATGAGAGCTTGTGAAAAAGCTCTCATTCCCATTACACACCAACATTCAATAAAATACAAAAAGCCTTCTGGGTTCAGAAGATATATTAAAAAAAAGTCAGAAAAACTAATGGGACAAGAATTTGTAGCTGATGGGTTAGGTTAGGCTGAGAGATGGAATCTGCCTGCAGATTAATTAGATTCTGCAATCACAGCCCCTTTTCATCCGCACGCATCCCACCACTATCATTACATGATCAACAGATTTTAATGAAAACTAATGCTTTCTTTTGAGAAATTCCATGGAGGCTATGTATAAGGTTAAGTTTACTTTTCTAAATATCTCTTGAAAATTGTACATAACGCGAGTGCACATTTGTCGGCTGTAAAGGTGTACAACAGCAATTTTTTGCAATGACAGTGCAGAGAGGGAATATGAGATCTGTGTGCTAATGAGCTGACACTGCAGAGGCTGGAGCAGTGTTAGTCTAGTGCACTACAAGTGCAGAGCAGAACGACAGACGCGGGTTATTTCCAGGGAATACAATCTACAGAACTACACACACGATTCAACATTAATACCAACATCCTTCAGCAGGGGTTATAAGAAAAGCGTGAAAGATGTTGCTCCAGTGACAAATTTATATATTTGAGTTGTTATAGTCATATGATTTTAAAAAAGCCAGCTCACTCCCTGCATGAGCATTTTAAAAGAAAATATAACATGATTTTGATTTTATACATTCACAGACCAAGTTAACTTCCTTTCTGTTTCTTCTGATAGCAAAAAGCTGCGTATTTTAAAAGATTTAATAATTTCCCTGGAGCCAACTGATAAACTTCAATTCACCTTTAAATACTCAGGAATTTTCATCTGTGTTTGCATTTGTTCTCTGTTAAGATATCATACAGCTAAATAAATAAATGGGCAGATAAATACAGTGGATTAATACTGTATGAATATGTGTAAATTAAATATACAGAGAGGGGCTCGGTGTTAGCAGTGAAGCAGGGAATACATGTACATAAATCAGATTATGCATCATTTAACTGAAAAAGGAATGAGGGGGAGGGGCTTGGGGCAGGAATTTTCTTTTGCTTCTAAACAAGTTTCTTCCCATGTTGGGACATTGCCAAATCAGCCGTACCAGAGGTGGGCATTTTTCCTCTGGCTCATGAGAATACTTCAGAAGAGGTTTTTTTCTCTTGCCTCTGGAATGCACCAGATTGCATCAAGTGGGATGTGCAGCTGTACAATAAGAACATAAGTCTTTCCTGAGCAGAGCCTCCCTCAATTCCAGCACACATGAACACGTCCTACAGTCACTACCATATAAATCAAAGTAAAGGAGAAAGAAAAGTATTATTTTACAGATACTGACTAGTACAGGCACCAGGCTCAAGCTACACATGCTACTTTCTCCAGTTTCCCCTCAGTTCCTGTACCTATCCCACCACAAAGTCAGCCCCAGTCTCCCTCTCCAGTGAAGGCAGGCAGTCACTGCAGGCTCCTCTACCATGGATCCCTGCCAATTGCAAATATCGATCAAACGGCTGTGTGACATCACTGGAGACAATATATGCTTATCTCCAAGTGAAGTAAAAACGTTGTGGAAAGAATTCCTTCATGGATGTGGTAACACCCTGAAATTATCGCCACTCCACTAGGAAGGGAGGATGTGATTAAAGGTACTTAAGCTGGAATGTTAACTAGGTAATGGGACAAGCTTTTAGTTCATCCTAATGCATTGATACACATGAGCATTCTGACTTTCAAAGACAATTGCTTCCAGATTCCAAAGACCAAATGTACTGCTATTTTTTTAATGTATTTTGAGCTACTGGAAACCTATGACTGGTGACTTGGACTCACCATATTTTTCCTAACAACAGTATCATGAGGTGGTTGATATAGCTATGGACAAGGTCACCTTTTCATTTTTTTTTCTTCTGTTTCTTTTTGCACATCTTCTACTTTTAAATAGGTTACTGTAGGTTCATGTTTTCTGGTCTACAGTTCCTCCAGAGATTTAAGTTTTCCCAATTTTACTACACTGGTAATATGGATGTTGGACACGCAGCCCTATAGTACAGAAAACAATCTCACTTTACTAAAATAACCACGGCTTTAAATAAGCAATGACAAAAATCATTAGATGTCAGAAGATGAATAGCACACTGACTAAATATACTGACTGCCCCTAAACAAGTGTATGGTTCACTTGCCTTGGTGGGATCTTTAAAGAAGTGCGGGTAGAACTTTTAAAAAACAATTAATAATTAATCACCTAAGCAGTTCAATGTATTTAGTTTAAATCCATATAATTGATATTTAGGAAAGTGTGTTTGAGATACAGCCTCTTGAAGGGATTACACTGATTAAGGATTAATAGTCTGATGTTTGTTGTAAGAGCTGTTGAGGCTGGATAGGATTAGTAAAATAAGATGCAAAGTAGAGACACGCTTTTATTTACCATTGTTTTCACTTTACCAAATATTTTTATTGAATACTACATAATTAACCCCCATGCAAAACTTTTAAAGGTCCTAATTCAAAGCCCTTTGAAAAACGTAATGCTGCACTAGCAAGAAGCAGTCACATGGGGGATATGTTAGAATATCAATCCAAAATTTGTCCAAATATTTCCTAATTGGATATCTTCTAACCATCAACTTTCTCAGAATATACCGTGGGACAGAGGAATATAAGAACTGTTCTAACCCCAATAACAAAAAAAATAAAGAAATAAGGTATTCAAAACATGAAATTGTTTTAAAGTAAAAGATATAAGTTTTCTGTACTCCAGTACTTCATTATATTAGTACAATGCTTCCTGTTTGAACATTTTATACTGTGAATATAAACCTGCATTCTGTGAGAGGAAACCCGTTTCAACACAAAGTTAGTACGTTGCATTCAAAGGTCCTTTAGATCATGTACAGACATAAATCTGCACATTGCAAAGTGCATCAACTAAGAGGACTCCTTTCATTTTCAAAGGTTCAAAATCAAAATTGTATAGAACTGAATTTGGAGACATCAGTAAAACAAATATCCAGGAACTACAATTGGTAAAGGAATGCTTTTTAAAATGCAGAACACGCACATCTCTTTCTGAAAGAGATTTCGCATTTTAACACCACATTAGCAATACTCAAAGTTCTGTTTTGCATCTTCTGTTAATAAAAGCTCAGATTATACGTATGCACTGCTTGTGCAGAGCTATTTCTCATAATGCCAAGCGTTCTGATCCCATTTTCTCTCCCCTCAGCTCTAACGGTATCTGTCAGTTTACAGTCAGTCTCCAGCTTTTCACAGGACTCGCACTGTAAGAAAACAACTCAGTATTTCAGGGCAGAGGAGGCAAATAAGCCCCTCTAGCTTTGTCCCCTCAAGGTCATGTCTAAACAGTTGTTTCTGATCTTTTCCTACATGGCATTATATGCAAATTATGCCTTTTCACACACCCAGGTTCTAGCCTCAACAGAAAAGGGATCTTCAGTGGCAATTCACTGATCACAGCTACACAGCACTGATACACCAACAACATGGTTGTTTTTCTGGAAAACAAAACTAAAGGGATGAAAAGAAGTGATGAGGAAACTTTTCCTAAGGTACTATTCAACCATATAATGCTGCAAATCTACTAAACCTCAAGTCACTGCACACATTTGTTGCACTGTATTGCATGACTGAGAACTCCAGGCTGCCAGGGAGAAACTGAATGTAAAGATACATAACAAATAAATATTTTTTTTAAAAACCATGTATTTACTTACAAGCATTTGTCACTGAAAAACTGTTGGAAGAGTCCAAGTGATCGACATGATAGTTCAAATGGAAGGGCTTTTCTGTGGTATTTTGGTTTGTGTTGTATAACTGCACAGCAAATCGAAACGCACTGTGCTCCTGAACAGTGTTCCTCATGAAAAGTCCACCTAGGATGGAAAAAAAAAGGATAAAAAGGGAAAAGGTATTTCAGAATGGATTTTGAGGAGAAACAGTGCCAATAAGTTACATTTGCATGCTGTACACTGCAGGAAAGAATGAACAGGAGCAGGCTGAACCTGAGCACATAACTCTGACAGATCACCTATATGAAATACATATTCTAAGCCCAAAGTTAGGCTTTTAAAGCTACACATCACATCCAGGTGCCCCCGAGCCATGGGAGTCGTTGGGAGCTGCAGGTGCACCTTGAAAACCAGGCCACTTCCACACGGATGCCCACACAGAGCTTTAAAAGTCTAACTTGGGGGACCGTGGCTCCTAAATCATCCCCCGACTACCGAAATATCGCCACTGTAGAGTTATGTGCGAGGACACGGCGGCGTGGCAAACGTGCGGTTTCACGGTCTGGTGGAGCGACAGTACGGCCGAGCCAAAGGATGCTCCGAGGGACGGCAGGGAACAGCCCCCGCTTCACTCGCTGCCCTCAGCCTCACGGCTCCCTCGGCCCCGGGTTTAGGGCACGTCGCTACGGATTCCCGCCGTGACTCTCTCACATTATGTGCTCCACGGGATGCGCCGCTCCAGGGCACGGTTTCCGCAGAGCGCGGACCCGATCCCCGCCGCTCGCAGGGGAGGCGGGAGCCCGGCGCCGCTCGCAGCCGCCCGCCAGCGCAGCCCCGGGCACCGCCGCTGCCTCTCGCCCTCAGCGAGGGGAAGGACCCGGAGCGGGCTGGCTCCTTCCGGCGGCGCCCCGGCTCGCCCCCCGCTCCCCTCCGCACAACTTCCCCTCGGCTGGCGGGAAGGCGCGGTCCGCGGTGCCGCGGCGGGCGCTTACCTATACTGATGGTGTTGGGGAACCCCGCCAGAGCCTCCCCCAGCAGCCCCGCCAGCAGCAGCAGGAGGGTCCGGGGCGCGCTCTGCCCCATTTTCTTCAGCCCCTGCAGTTCAGCCCCTAAACCGAAACTGGCGGCACAGGCATGGGCGCAACTGGAGACTCGGAGCGGTGTCAGTGGTGGTGGCGATGCTGGCGGAGGTGGTGGGGAGGATGGTCCCCCTCCTTTCTTCCCTTCTTCTTTTTTTTTTTTTTTCCTCTTTCCTTCCCCAAATCCCTCTGCTCTCGTCTTCACCCCAGCCTGGCAGGGCTCATTGGCTGCGAGATTGCCTTTCTCCCCCCCGTCTCCAGCAGCCCCCCCCCAGCGCAGGGACTTCCCCCAAAGATGGTGGGTAGCGGAGCCGGCGAGGCTGCTCCGCCCGGCCGGGAGGGGGTTATCGATCAAACTTGGCGTGAGGCGGCTGGCAGCCGCTCCACTCCGCTCGGCCGCGCCGCCCCAGCCCCGGCGCCGCCGTCTCCCGGCCGCGGCTCCCGCGCTCGGGCTGCGGTCGGCGGGAGCGCACCGGCCTCACGTGGGGCGGCCCCCGGGCTGCAGCTGCCCCTTTAAAGCTGCATCGCCTCGGTGTGTGTGTGAGTGTGTGTGTGTGTGAGACGTGCGGTGCGTGCGCCGTGTGGGCGGGCGGGGAGGGAGCGAGCAAGGAAGGAGGGGCGGGAGCCGAGCCGGGCTGAGCCGGGGCCGGCAAGGGAGGCCGGGCGGGTGAGAGAGGGGGCGTCGGTCCTGGTCGTGCCCGGCGGGCGGTGCGGGCGCCCAAGACGCGAGCCGAGAGGCGGCAGAGGCTCCTCGGGCCGGGGCGAGAGGCCCGGTGAGGGCCGGGGCAGGCGGGCGGCGCTGGGCCCCGCCTGAGGGGAGAGCCGGGAGCGCACGGGCTGCCGAGGGAGGGCTGGGAAGGGCCACAGCAAGGGATGCCCAGGCGCTTTCCCGGAGGGGCTGCCTGCCTTGCGCCCTAGTGCTCCCCATCCCTCCTCCAGTGCCAGCGCCTCGGCATCGTCCGCCCACTGTGCCATGAAGTGAAGAAAGGCAAGGAAGAGTTTAATCCCACACTAGGGAATATTAGGTCCTTCCCAACCAGCTCTAACGGAAGGAACTCCAACGGAGTCTCCCGGTTTCATCCCTGGTGCTGTAGAAAGGCAGGACATGTCTGAGCTGCCCCAGCACAGAGCACAGCACGGGCAACCTGATGGGGAGCAGCCAGGTGTGTGCTGGACATCCCACGTACCTGGAGCACCAGTCCTGAGCCACTTGCTCTGCACATCCACAGGGTGCTGTTGTGCTGGGTTGAAGCTGGCTTCTCTGAGGGGTTAGTCTTGTACCCATCTCCTTGAAACCTCCCTCTATGGATCCTGCAGCTCTTTTCTTTCTGCTGCTTTGGGGCTCACAGAACTATACAAAATGTAGAGAGAAAAGAGATATTAGGTCAAGTAGTCCATCTCATAGGCCCAGCAAAGACTGTTCTTCATGTTTTTCCTCTGATTTCAGCAGGTTGCTTTACCCTAGCGTTCCTCTGCTTTCTTTTTTTAATCTTAAACTCTGGCACTGTTTGGGTCTATGTTCAGTTCTTTTAGGGATAATATTAAATATGGTTGGCTTTGCATTTGCAAAATAATCAACCAGTGCCACTGGCTATAGTGTCATGTAAGTGGTCAAGACATAAGATTGTGGCAGGTTACTGCACAATATGCTAATGAACAACATCAGAGATTCAAACCACTACCCTTAAGGGAAGCCAAAAGCACAGGTGAAGAGCAGGGCATCACAGTCATGATGCAGGAGCATAACATATGGTTTTAGTGACATATGTGTGACACCTACTTACCCCGAGGTGCATAAATTGGTCGCTACCTATTGTGTTCCTTTATGAGAATCATACCCAGAAGATGAAGTCTGTTCCAGTTCAGGCAGGGGTAAGGATAAGGCTGTGAGGTGGATGGTAATGTTCCCTGTTTAGATTGTGATGGCAGGTGTCACTTTATCTCTTTTTAAGAAATGGTCATTTGTATGGACAGGTGGGTTAAGGTTCATCATTACATCCACAGTACTCCTCAAGTTCAAAGCACTCTATGCATATTATCTATGAATTCCTGTAAACATCTCCATGAAGCGTGATTATGTTCTTCCCTTACAGATGTAAAAACTTAAAAATCAGGGAAAGCAACTGGCCCAGCTCACCTAACCAGGAAGTTTCAGACTCAGAATTAAGATCATGAGCAGCAGCCCAGTTTCACTGTAGAGCACTCTGCTCCCAAATGTCCTTTGGTAAGGATAGCGGATCTGAAAACTACAGACAGGCACAGAAAGTTTAGACATTCAAGATAGTTGTCAAAATCACATTTTTATAACCAAATAATTTATCTTTCAGGTTTCAAACTACTTATCTTTTCCTATTTTGTACAGTGCCAGCCTATTTCTAATGCATTCTCCACAAAGTCCTGCTATCCTCTTTTTTTTTTTTTGTGTCCTTTGCTAGCGGCCCTACTTTCTTCCTGTTCACTTACTCTCACAAAGTTCTTCTCTCCATCCCTGCAGCTGAGTATTCCAGGCTGACTGCCACCTGCCACACTGACAGCTGATGGTGCACTGAAAAAAATATGAAAGAAATTATGTTTAACATTATAGGTGTTAGAACAAGAGAAGAGATAAAATAGGCCTAAATGAATGTGGCATGTGTCAGTCTCGGTTTCAAACACTGCCAGTAGGGTGGGTACCTTGTCTCCAATAAAATGGTGCTTCACAGCCTAATCTCCAAATGGACAGTCTTGTGATAATCCAAAATACATCTGTGCTAAGAGACAAATGAATTTTCATTATCACACTCATTTTTCATCCTGAAGCCCCTTGTGTGTTGTTATTATTGTTGTTATTATTAGCGTTTTCAATACACACTTTGCTTGTTTGCTTATGCAGTCTGTTTCATGGCAGTCTATGCAAATACAAATGGTACAGCAGCCATTCCATATGGATTTTGAAATCCAAAGAGACCCCATCCCAGTTCATCTTTCTTACAATGAATCCAGTGTGTTCTAGAAAAAAATGGTAGGAGATTACTTGGCTTAATGTGGATATTAATGCCATGTAAATAGTTTATATACTTTGCTAGGGATGCTCAGTGACTCAAATTAATGAGTTCCATGGTAACTGAGGTCATACCAGATGCTTTCCCAAACTTTCCCTTACTAAATACAACCAAGATTTTGCAGGATAATCAAGCTTCATGTTTAGATGATCTGTAGTGTTCTGAGACACTGGGGATTCTGTGTACTATCTACCCATCAGGAGAAGGTAATGATTTATAATTAGCTAATGTGTTCTCCTTGTAATGTCTAATAGTAGATTAGAAAAATGCAGTGGAATTTGGGACACAGCGTTCTCATTGTGCTTTCTGATGTTACTAGGCTAAACCCATAGTGTTAGCATAAAGTCATAGCAGAATCTACAGCAGGATTCTGTGACTGAAGCTTCATCTTAACTGCACTAAGCTGACTTTATCACTTTTGTCATTCCTTTCTCTAATTGTAAGAGAGATGCTCGGGCAGCAAGTTTTTAGAAATCATGGTACTTCTTCCAATATGAACCAAATCAGGCCATAATTGCCAACAAATGTTTTATGTGTCTTACAGCCTTTTTTGTTTGCTGGTTTTAAACTGGGTATTTCTTTATAAAAACAAGGGATACACAAATAACTGACCTTTATGTTAATGTCAGCATTTTGATTAGCTAAACTGATTATTCTACAATAGAAAGTTAACAGATAGAGTGATAGTGGAGAGAGACAGAAGCAAAGATGAAGAGGGATTCAGGGACAAGATGAAAGTACAGATAGAAGGAGTCAAGGGGAAAGTACAGTGTCAAAAGAGGGAAAATGAATACAGACATTACAGCTTCATACATTTTGGAAACCATGTCAAAAGGACATGTAGTTAAGATTTGATTATATTATATTATGAGTGGCCGTAGAACAAACTGTCGAAGCTCTCCTGTTTACCTTTCATTACAATGCAATAACAGAGACATAAAGTGAAATTAAAAAGCTGCAGACGAGAGACAGTTTAACAAATATTCTGCTGTGCAGTTTATAGCTAATCTATAAAGCTGTCTTCTACACAGTATTCTCAGCAAAAATAATTGTTTTTAAAAGTGTCAAATTTTATGTGAATTAGCAGAGTAAATGCATTAGACTAACTAGTAAAAAGCTGTAGGGATTAATATTCAGAATTCATGGCAAAAAGTTGCTCCTGGTTGTCTCAAGAAAGACCTATTCCCTTATGTATGTTTACAGTGTGTCTAAAGCTCTGTAAAAGTTTTTTTTTTCTGGTCAGTTCTAGAGACAGGTTAGGAGACTGCTTGAATCATTGATTTGTTTTTATTAATTTTTTTCTAAGAATGGTTAACAGGCAAAATCCTGGAACTATGGAAATGTACAGTAGGTTTATTAGCCATACCATCAGATCTAGGATTGCACCCTATACATCCTGGCAGAATAATAGGGTCTGGCACATAAGAATATGTTCTAGTACATGGAATGATGATCAAGATTTGTATAGGAACAGGGACAAAGAGGGAACTTGTTCATAAATAATAGTCATTACTCCACTGCTGGAGTCTAATTCAAATTTAGGTAGCAGAAGCAAATTCATCCAGCAACTTTTATCAGAACTGAGCACGGACTGTTATGGTAATAACCTGTATCTATTACAATTGCACAACTAAGACACAAACGTGGAAACAGTCAGTATGTACAAATGTCTTCATATTTCTTGGGCTTGTGGTATCTTCAGAATACATAGTTCTAATTCTAAGAGCTATGGAGCTGCTGGAAATGTAGTGTTATTATAGTCCCATAATGTCAGAAACAATTTATATTACCTTCTGCTTTCCGATTAACTGTACACTAGGCACTGCTGGCATAACACAACCCTGCAATTCTTACTTAAACCTGTACTTTTGCTGTGCTCATCTGTATTTATTACATCAGGAAGCAGTAAATCAAATAAAAGGGTAATGGTAGCCCCTTTATACTGTTAATAAAGTGAATCCTCTCTCTCTTTTTATTATATACCTATGAATACAGTTTTCAAGCAATTGTGGGAGTTATATCCAGTTCATACCCATTTCAGTTGTGAAAGATATGACCACTGAATATTTAATTTTTGTAT